AAATAAGGAAAAAAAACTAAAAGAAGACAAAAATAATGATCATTAGTAAGAACAGCAACATAAACGACCAAATTACAATAAGTGATACACCGTTAGAAAGAGTGGAAAAAATATGCTATTTGGGCTGCAATATTAATAATACTTGAGATCACAACTACGAAATAAAAACCCGTATTGAAAAAGCCAGAAGCTTTTTCTACAGCCTTAGAAAGATTATTTGCAAACTATCTTTAAGAATTCTTAGATGTTACGTCTTAGAGTGTCTTCCTCTATGGACTAGAAAGAGCCTTACAGAAAATGCCATTTTTTGTTAAATAAACTGGGGGATTGCTCCTGATGTTGCCCTTTATAACTTAGGCCACATTACATAAATTCCTGGATTAGAGAGTACTTTTCCCCCACAGCCTGGGCTATTGAAGTCGCTTTGATGAACCCCTGACAGTAAAAAGTGTCCTTCCTGTACAATCCTGAATGAATGAATACTAATATTTTTATGTAATTAAATGGCTGAGGGTTCTAAACAAAGGCTTACAAAAAACAGTCCTCGCCCCAAAAGTACGCGCGTCGAAATGTGGACAGGCCATTTCCATGCTTCCAAGCTCATTTGAACCTTGTTGATTTACCGACAAATGACGAAGATTGCCAATATTACCATAAGATAAGTCAGTTCTGTGCCGCTGTCTGAGGATTTGCTGATTAAACATGATGTAGATGTACATGTGGGTATGTGTATTTTTATTTAAGTGTGTGAGTGTGTGTCATGTTCAATCAAAATATCTACAGCTGCAGCCCCTATGCTATGTTCATCTTATTCACATCTGTTCTATAGACCCATGGGACATTCCCTATTGGCGAATGGGACTTGCCATGAGGACTTACATCAAGTCTATCCTGCGTAGGATGCCAAAGTCACAGTCTCAGGCCGACTCTTTTTTGCACTAGTCTTTTATTGTTTTTTGCTGGGATATATCAAATTATAAAATATTTTGCATTCTTTGTTTTATGTTTGGCTATTGTATATCTTTTTTCTTCGTCTTTGATGTCAACAAGTCCATTGTCTAGGCTTTTATGCGCTTATGCTTTTGCTAGAGCTAATGTCGCTTAATTTTGTGGCTACCTTAAAGATTCATGTCCTATTTTCATGTAACTTTATTATATAATTTTTTTTTTTAATTTTTTTTATAACTTCATTTAAATACATAAGTACTACTAAATCTCACTGATTCTCAAATTTCTTTATTGTTATGCATCGAACAACATTTTTAAATTTCCTAATTATAGAAAATATTTTATAGCGTAATGAAAACTATTGATGCGTAATGAACAGAATAATAATAAATATAAAAAAAAACTCATACAACATGTAATATTAACAAAAAAAGTAAAGTTTACAACTGAGTTATATCCCCTTTATCGTGGATCGTGGAATTGTGTCTACGTCATCCGCAAACGCCAATAGTATTTTTGATCCTTGGGCGGCAAATCCGTTTGTCAGTTGTGATTGAGCTTTCCTTACGGCATGTTCCAGTGCAAAATTAAATAGCAGGAGGGCGAGAGGATCTCCTTGTCTAAGCCCGGTTTCAATGAGGATTTCCTCCGACGTGGTGCTGCCAATTCTGATCCGTGCGGAAGCGTTCTCTGTGCTCACCTGTGATAATCGTACCAGCTTTCCAGGTACTCCCATTTCCACCATGGTCTCCCACAATGCTTTTCTGCTAACAGAATCGTAAGCTGGTTTAAAGTCCACGAAGATTTAAGTCTACGGTCGATCTTCCAGGTCGGAATCCGCTTTGTTAGTCACCTATTATTTCCTTTGCGTATGGAGTTAGTCTTCTAGACACTATTATGTATATAATTTTGTACGTTTTATTGATTAACGATATTCCTCTATAGTTTCGACATATTTGTTTGTCTCCCTTCTTGTGGATAGGAAGTATATGGCTTTCATGTCAGTGTTTCGCTATTTCTTCTCTTTCCCAGACTTCTCTTATAAGATGATATATCACAAGATGGAACTTTTTTCCCCTCCCCCTTTTTTTAGAAGTTCCGCCTGTATGCCGTCTGGGCCCGGGGCTTTATAGTTTTTTAGGGACCAAATTGCGGACTTTACTTCAGCTAGTGTGGGCCCTGGTATTTCAGGTTCGGCTAACTGGTACTGTCTTCTTTGCCCTGTCGTTGTGGGTTTTTCTATATTTAAGAGTTGCTCAAAATACTTTCTCCTCGTCGTCTGTGAGCAATTGTCCTGCATCGTCTTTTATAAATCTTGGGCTATTGGTCTTGTTGCCCTTCATTGTTTTTAAGTCGTTATAAAACTGTCTAGACTGACCGGTTCTACGTTCCTCCTCCAGTTGCTGTATTTTTGCTTCTAGGTATTGTTTCTTTTTTCTTCTCAAAAGTCTTCTCGTTTGAGTTCTTACTCTGTTGTAGTCTTCCCTGTTCTCATCTGTAGGGCGTTAGTAACTCTAGCCTCTTCATTGCTTTCTGATGCAAGCTTTGCTCGCACTCCTGGTCAAATCACTGGTTTTTCTTCTTGTTATTCCTTTCTTTTCCTATAGTTTCCGTTGCGGCACTTTCTATAGCGTTCGTTATATTTTGCCATTTCCGGTCTATGGTCAATTCTGGCGTTGATGCTTCTTCTTCTTCCAGGGTCTGCAATTTGTTTTGGATCAGTGCCTGATATTGGCGTTCATTATCAGGTAAATCGAGCCTTGAAATGTCCCATCTGTTTCCTTGTTGGCGTTGCTTTGGCTGTCTCGTCTTTAGCCTTGTTCTCATTTTTGTATCAGATCATGACAGATGTAGCAAATTTGACTTTTTTTTTCCGTCAGAAGCTTCATTTTTCCTGCTAATGACGCGACTTCTACTGTTTCCAACACACACTTCAAATCTGGACTCATCGTTCCATTGTATTGAATCCCATTGCGACTGAGTTCAATTTTTACGCTGTTTTGACCATCTTAGTCTATTTTTCTTTCGTTGTAATGTTAAAAGTGGCTTTTCCTTAGCCTAAAATAAATGAAATTTATTAAAAACAATTCGTATTATTTTTCTCAACTATAAAACTTTTGTAAGTACCAAATCCTAATTTGTGGGCATTTCGGTGACATATTGAACGTGTCTACCAATAACTTCACTCCATAAAACGCTTAACTGCATATAATTTGCTCGTCGATTTTTCACTATAATGCATCTAATGCGCTTAGATCTTCTTCGGTTATATTACTTTTTCATACATTTCTAGGTTTTGTCACGACCCAACCTGTAATTTTGTATCTTCTGACTATATTCCTTACACTATAGCGTGACAATTGCGACACATTCGCGATTTTCGAATTGGACTTTCCAGAATTAAAAATCTAATAATGATTGAACAAATTTTCTCATCGATAACTTTACCTCGACCCATTTGTACAATCCACAAACGGCAAAAAGCTTTACAATACTTCAAAATACATTTGACATTAACTGACAATATTATTGTTTTGATGTCATTTTTCCATAAATACCTCTGGATTTAACGTAATTATGAAAAAATCAACGTATGTTGATATAAGTGAATGCATAACCAGGGCACAGAATAATAAACAATCAGAATGCCCACTTTGTTTGAAAAAATAAGTACGCGCATCTCGTTCGCACAGACGGAATCAGCCATGTTTTAAACGGAACCAGTGCTCTAGTTTTCGAAAAAGTGATGAGGCAAAAAAAAATTAAAAATAATGTGTTAAACTAATGATGCCACAAAATTCATTTGATTTGAACGTACTCAAAAGTTTGGGAGGATTTATGGCTGCACACCCCCCTTAAAATTTTTCTGTACGCTTAGATTTTGTTGTTTCTTTTGTATGAAAAATGCTTTCAGAACAAGAAAGTAAGGTGTCCATTTTTATTACAAAATGTCAAGTAGTTTAGGAGATATTGCAAAAAACAATTTTTATTTTGTAACTTTAAAGGGCTGTAACTTTTTTTGTGTACACTTTTGTACTAAGGGAAGTTGGATTCAATCAATTTATTTTTGTCCCCGGAATGCGTGATTTAATTTATGACATACCTTTTTGAAAAACCCCGTAGACATAATATGCAGTATTTTATTCGTACTTTTAGTTGAAGAATAGATTAAATTATTTCAAATGTACTAAATTATTAATCTCTAAAAATTTAAATTACAGTTCTGTCGTAACTTGTCAAAAATTTCTCAATTCGAGTCTGTTTCCGTTTAAAATATGGCGATCGCGTTCTGACAAACTTCAAAGGCGGCATAGATGATATGCCCACGCATTCTGATTGTTATTTATTCTGTGGCCAGTGTTTAATTTGAAAATTCCTACACAAACCTACAGAAAATAATATTTGCCTTTGTAAAAAACTTTTTAGATACCTTGATTATACCACAGCCTTTTTTTTACTTATGTTTCCCTGTACTAATAATAAAAAACAACTCTGTTAACTGTGGAATCAGTGCGTTATCTAATTTCCTTCTTAATTATGTCAAAATATTCAAAAACCTTTCAATTGTAACTATTATATCCCTATTTGAACAATTACAAAGTTTTTAAGTATTAAATCGTCCTAAATAAATTCTAATATACTATTATGTTTTGCTGATTTTTTCTTTACAATTCAATTGAAGTAAATACCTATGCCTCTGTACCGTGTTCTGTTTGAGGCTTATATTTGAATATACCTTCACTCACTGCCAGGGTTTCCAAGAAGGGACAACAGTTTTATTGCCGCAAGACTATAATGTTATGATATTTTAGGTAGTGTTATTTTGGAGACATAGCTGAAAGTATGCTTGTTGTTATAGTTTACAAGTTATTCCTATTTGTCCGTCGTGTTTATAACATCAGTTTATTTGCGCACTATTGTATTGAGGGTTTAATTCTATTTATAAAGTACGTTTTCTGTTTGATGAATATTTGAGTTTATATTATAATGATTATTGTTTTTAAATTTTTTTATTAAGGTTTTGGATTTGGATAAAAATGATAATTTTTCAGGTAACGTTACCAACACTCTATCGTCAGGACCGTTTTCGCCTTCGAATATTTTACCAAAAGAGATGTCTCAGGACACCAAACGAAAAATTAAGTCACCTACTCACGAAAGGGTGCTCACCGTCAAATCGGAACCCCCGTGGGAGTTTGATTCGCTTCATTCCATAGAAAAGAAGTCTGACATTGACTATCACATAGACATGGATGCCCAGACAATTGTAAAACTTTGCAAGTAAGTAGATAACGTTTATGAAATATTACTCTTTGTCTCTTATTAGACTCATTAGCGCTTGTAAGTCATCTGTTCTACAGTGTAGTTAGAAAGACTGGATTTTTGGTTGTTTTATCAAAAATCGGGAGTGGTTTGTGCTCAATCAATTTATAACTTTAATTTTTTTATTTCAATAAAAAATGAAGAAGACGTTAAGTAAGCTATCGACTTTTTCTAGTAGGAAAACTTTTTTAATAAACGTTTTATAACCTCTTAAACGCTGTAATAACATCGCATACTAGTGTCATCTGTTCCTTGGTTCTTAATTTATTGCTTTGTTTTGTCAAAATTTTATATCTTTGACTCCACATTCACAAAAATTTCATTAGCAAGCTTGTTCAAATCTGTGCTATTGAATTAAATTCTTCCCTTTTTCGTTATCTAAATAATCACGTCAATTGATACCCTAATTTATTGTTTTTAATATAAATGATTGTCCAAATGACCATTATTCAAAGACAATGTAAGTAATAGTGCCCATAATTTCTATAAATACCTGTTTAAGCCAAAGCAGGTAAAGGACTTAATAAAAGAAAGTTAACAGTTAGGTAAATGTTGAGATTAAAAACTGTAAAACTCTTATCTATCACTTGGAGGCAAGCGACAATTTACAAGTTTTGAGGAAAACGCAAAAAACGATTCTAAGCTAGACTAACTTATTTTTGATTATTTGTTTTTGAGTAAACCTGATCAAATATTGATAATTAGTTATTATTATAGTAAAATAAGGTCATTTTTTGTTTTTATTTCTGAATAATTGTTATTTTTGTACATATCATGTAGCCCGTTTCAACAACTTACACTAAATAAAACTTTTTTTTTAAGAAATAATGTTTATTTAGCAAAAACTCAAAAAAAATGGAAGGGTACAACTTATTTCCATTTATTTTCTTGTTGGCCAGTTACCAATAAAATGGTTGGTGGTTTTCTGTAATATATTTTAACACCCGTTTAATATGATTTATTTTGGTTTCTTTAATCGGAATCTTGCTTTTATATGCCTCATTCGACGACCATCTTACGATGCCAGCATTGTTCATTTTAAGGTGAAAAGTGTTACCATTAAAATGGCTGTTAATATAGGGGGAAGTACTGAGATAGCCAGATTTAGAGATCATGCGTAAAGTGATGAAACTGTTTGGTATGCCTCTTTTGCTTTTCTCTATAGAAACGACATTCCTTTTATAAAAGTTGATCCGCCGATTCTTAAAATTCAAAATGTCAGATCTTTTTTACTTCCATTACAGTAAATTTTCTACTCACACTTGGCGTAATTATCAATTTAGTAAACTCGTCTACAGAAAAAATTCTGTCGAAGCTCTTCAAAAGTTTTTTGAAAGTTCCAAAATTCCTATCGCAAGGGAAAAACGAGTGCCTTCTAATGGGATAAATCTATTCAACTTTTTTAAATCTCGTTTTAACTAATGTCATACACATTCTGATTACAGTATTGTTTTTATTTTGACTAGAGCAATTGTCACAAAATAAAACATATCTTGTACGGGAATTTCGGGAAAATGGAGTTTCTGCATATGGTCAAACCATAAGGCTAATACACTTTATTATTTTGCTATGAGTTTCGGCCTACTTGAGATATGTATAAAATTTTTTGGCTCTACGTTTGTGGACGATTATACCACCATTTATGGCCAAACCAGTAGTTATACATAAGCTTGACGTTCAATCCTGCATGTAGATATGACATAGGTTTACCAGAGTACTGTGTGTCTTTAAGAAAAAACAATTCAACATGTTGCCTTATTAAAATATTGTTTTCTTCAGGAATTGCATGAACCTTCCCATTGTGGCCCCTTTTGTCACATGGTATTTGATTGTTTGATAACATATTTTTGATTCGTTCTACTCTCGTTTTGGAAACACCATTTAAGGTAAAAACATGTACCCTCATATTATCAACAAGAACAAAATGGTCGTCAGTGGTCTTTTGATGAAATGAGATCATTCTTCTGTAATGATAACTTGCAACTTCAACTTCGAAAGCGCATGGTTAAATGCTACATTTGGTCAGTACACTTATACGGTGTCGAAGCATGGGCATTAAAAATATCTACCATTAATCGTCTGGAGGCCTTTGAAATGTGGCTGCACAGACGTATACTAAAAATTCCATGGACGGCTATGCTGACAAATGTGGTAGTCCTTGAGAGAGCAAATGCTGCTCGCGAGTTGCTTGATAACATCAAATGTAGAAAGATGGCCTATTTTAGACACGTAATAAGGGGAGACGGAGTAAGGACGCAGAGGAATTGGTAGAAAGCTCTTGGTTGAAGAATATCAGGGAGTGGACAGGAATAAGGAAAACTGAGCAACTATTTAGAATAGCTCGAGACAGAGACAGTTTCGCCATGTTAATCGCCAACGTCAAGGGGACTTGATAGGGCACGTTAAGAAGAAGAAGGTCTTTTTCTTCTACCAACTTTCTAGAAGTCCTTGTAAATATAAATCCTGCTCATCTTTTGTATTTAATTTGCAAAATTTGTCGAATATTTCATTTCTGACGTCCTTTTCAATTTTAGTGAAACATTTTAAGGGTCATCTAAAAAAAACATAAAGATGCAGATGGGAAGTTAAATTATTATAAAAAAAATGAACTTACTTGCATGCTAATCCAATTTTTCTTGTTCAGGACTGTTTTTCCTTTGTAATTAACATATGAAATGCCTTTTATACTGCTCTGTTTTATAACATTTCTGTTATATTCGTCGTCATGTCTCACACCTCTCTTTCACATGTTTTTCTATTTTTATGTTTTGCAATATACAACAGAACTTTTCAGGACGAAGAAAGTATACACATGGCAAATGACAGCCTCGATTACTCAGTACAGCACGTTAAACCACGTGATGTTTATTTCGTACGTTGTTGAAAGGGGGCTAGCGACATCTCTTGCCTCCTTTCTACACTAAATGCAGTTTCGAAGTATACATTATATCCATGAAATGCATAGCGCTTGCGTCGTTTCAACACCAAATGATGCGTATATATAAAGAGAGAAGGATTTTTACTATAACTCGAAAGAGGCAGAATAAAAATCATTTTCAAATGTATTATAATTAAAACTATACTATGTACTAAAGTGAATTAAAGAATTCTTGTTCTTTTTTCGTTTTCTCATGTTTGAATTCTAGATTCTTGTTTTTTAAACAATTCCCAAACTTTTTGTCGACTTATCTAGATTTTTCGTTGCCTTCTCACTAGATTACTCGATTTGGACTTGCACATGATAGCACAGTTTTATGACAGAAAATTACAACGGTCTTAATGGGTAAATATTTTCATTAAAGGAATTTGCCGAAAATCGCTTGAATTTTTTTTTTTTGACTTGACTGAAAAATCTAGGAAAATGTCAAGGCTTTTCGCCTTGTCTCAAGATTCATTCAAATGGTCCGACTGTTCTCGGTCGCTCTAAAAGGACATCTTTTGGGATAGACTGAATGGTTCTAGGTTTGTCCATATCATAGCGGTGTATGTTTTCCATGCAAACTATCAGAAATAGCGAAACAAATAGCATTTGGCGACTGCCCAAAAACTTACATCGGTCAAACTGGTAGAACTTTTAACAAACGTATAGCAGAACATAAAGGGGCTTTCAATAATAGAAAAACAGATTCTACATACGCACTTCACCTTCTAGATCATAATCATTAGAATCTATGGAAATTAACAAATTAAAAAATACAGACATAATTCTGAATGACCAACTTAACGCAAACAGGTCTCCCCTCCTTAACCTATTCAGTTCAAGACTATAAGTTTTATGAAGCTTGAAATACAATTGGGTATACAATACAGATTTTAGGACCATAAGGGCCACCGTTTTTAGAGTGGTTTTAAGAATACTAACATCATCATAACACAGATAGTCGATAGTTTTTTTTTGCAGTAACGTTGTTAAAAAAAATTTTGTCACCTGATCATAATATGCTCACAAATAAGGGTCTATTACCATGATATGTAATATCTATTTTCAATGTATTTTCTTTCAGGGGCGAAGTAATTAATGGTAACATCAACAATTCCATTATATCGGACACAGCTCCTCCTCCAACTCCGCCAGATCCGCCTGCAGTGAAGTTGAACCACCAGCAGCTGTTACCTCCCACTCCGTCAGTATACCTTGACAACAAGAAGCACGCATTCAGTCCGCAACTGCAAGAATTCTGCTTAAAACACCCCATTGCTGTGATAAGAGGATTAGCTTCGGCGCTAAAACTAGATTTAGGCTTATTTTCGACGAAAACTTTGGTTGAGGCTAATCCTGATCACAGCGTGGAGGTTAGAACGCAGATTCAGCAGCCGTCTGATGAAAACTGGGACCCACAAACTGGAAGAAAAGTCTGGGCGTGTATTTCCCACAGATCCCATACAACTATAGCCAGATATGCGCAGTACCAGGCTTCTAGCTTTAAAGAAAGCTTAAGGGTATGTATAAAGGTTTTGTATTTATTTGAACGTACGATATTTCGCCATTGTTAGTACAGTTTTGCCTATAATTATTGTTAAACATCTAAATTCTTGTCACGTAACCAGGATTTTGAGCATTTGCAGCCTCTATGGAGGATTCATAGTGGTTCCTTCAAACCCAGGTGCTTTCCCACGACTATCGTCGTTAAGAGCCACTATTTGGTCGCTAATGACAAGATGGAAGTGCTAAGTGCTTTGTCGCCACAGTGTGAGAAACTACTGACTTTGGACATATGGGACATTTTGTTGTTAAAGAACATGTGTTTTTAACTGTATCGACTTAATGTTTCTTCTTAGAGTGCCATATCCCTACGGAATGTCGGCGACTACCATGCTTATAATATTATTATACTGATCTCGGTCTTGCGCTACGTGTAGCAATTGGTCCGCTGTCAAACCTGTCTACTGCCGCAAATTTCTCAACCAAGAGAGAGTTTCTTCCGTCCTATCCATTTCTTTCCTTCGATTTTACCGTTGAGAATTAGCCGAAGGAACTCATATCTTGGTCCTCTGATTATATGTCCAAGCTATTCTAGTTTACGCCTCTTAATAATATTTAATAGAGTTCGTTGATGTCACATTCTTCGAAGAACTTCTTCGTTTCTAGTTCTGCTAGTCCATGGAATTTTTAGTATCCTTCGATACAACCACATCTAAAACGCCTCCATTTTATTCATGACATCGACGTTTAAAGTCCAAGTTTCACATCCATACAAAAGTACAGACCACACGTAACATCTTGTAAACTTTTCACGGATTTCCAAATTATTGGATAATAGAGGCTTGAATTTTTGAAATGAGTTTCTTGCCTGTTCAATTCTACATCGAATTTCGAAGGATGGATCTAGATTTTGGTTAATCCAACATCCAAGGTATTTTAATCTCTGAACTCTCTGCAGCGGTTGTTCGTTTAATATCAGTTGGGTTGCGCCGATATCCACTTTACTGGTCACCATGTATTTAGCTTTATCGATATTTATCGACAGTCCCCAATTTGTGCATTCCATGTCAACTCTATTGATTAGCTCCTGCAGATCGTCGATGTTTTCAGCTAGAATCACAGTATCGTCGGCGTACCGTATATTGTTAATTATTTCTCCTCCTATGATAATTCCTTTTTGATCTTTTAAAGCTTCCCTAAATAGATTCTCAGAATACAGTTAATGTAAAGAATACACTTAATGTTTGATGACAGTCAAACTTGTCAACCAGAATTTGTGTGGACTGAACCTTGTGTAGTCTATTCATCAAAATTTCTATGTCGATACATAGCTTGTTAATTTTATTATATGTTCTGCTATGATTTTTTGAGAATTTTATTTTAAACCTGTAAATCGCCTGTATACATTTAAAATATTCTTTCAGGATGAGCGTGAAAAAGCTGCTAGTGGATTATCAGACTCCGATTCAAAAGATTCAACACCATGTGGTGCGAAAAGAAGAAAAGTTCTACCTACCACACCTCCGTGTCCAGCACTGAAGAACTGTAAGGAACAGAAGACCCTCAAGTATGTTTAATTTTCGAGAAAAGTTCTTAAAATATTTAATAATACTGTTTTCAGATTCGGGACAAACGTAGACCTATCAGATGAGCGCAAGTGGAGACCTCAACTGCAAGAACTTATGAAACTACCCGCTTTTGCTAGAGTTGTGTCTGCTGCCAACATGCTTTCACACGTTGGACATGTCATTCTTGGGATGAATACAGTACAGCTCTACATGAAGGTAAATTATTTTGATATTTCTACTTCTATATATATTTTAGACCAAAGACCATTTTAACTTGATTCGTTTATCGTTTTGTTTCTTCTTCTATTTCATAACTTGATCTTTCTAATTGTCTCCATTGATTTGTCCCTTACATGTTTCGTTCTGCTGCATTTCTAATGTTTCTTCTAAAATTGTTGAGCTACGTGAGTGTTTATTTTTTTTTTATTTCAGGTTCCAGGTAGCAGAACGCCAGGTCATCAAGAAAATAACAATTTTTGTTCAATTAACATAAATATTGGACCAGGAGACTGCGAATGGTTCGCAGTACCAGACGCCTACTGGGGTTCCGTCTTTGCTCTCTGCGAAAAGAACCAAATCAACTACTTGCACGGTTCATGGTGGCCAATTTTAGAAGACTTGTACCACGCTAATATTCCAGTGTACCGTTTTCTCCAGAGGCCCGGTGATCTTGTCTGGGTAAACGCTGGATGTGTACATTGGGTACAAGCTGTTGGTTGGTGTAATAATATTGCTTGGAATGTGGGACCATTAACTGCGAGGCAATATCAGCTTGCTATTGAGAGGTACGAATGGAACAAACTGCAGAGCTTCAAATCTATTGTGCCTATGCTACATCTTTCCTGGAATTTGGCCAGAAACATTAAAGTTTCAGACAAGAAACTTTTTGAATTAATCAAGTAAGTTCATTGCATTACATTTGTCAAGAGTTTATAATTTGTATCTAAAATTCAGAAATCGGATTAAATTTTAAAGAATTTAAATTCAAATAACATACAAACGGTACTTACTGAATGTGCAAATGCTGTCCTCAAATTATCCAAACAGTCCCCTGTTAAAATTTGAAAACTAAGCTGAGTCAAATTTTGTTTTGATGTGGGACATTTAGATCATGAAATGGAATGCAATCGGTGTGAAGTTTGTTCTATTGTGGAACTATATTTTATTTAGTGCTACTAGTGCTACCAGTGAAACCCGCGTCTCAGCCGTTAGTCAAAACCGTCCCTTGGTAAGCTTTTTTTACTTGTTTTAATAACAATTTGTTTTAAATAATAAATAATCTTGTTTTATTAAGTATTCATATAAAAATATCAGCTCCCTCATCAAATGTCGTCTTCTGTTTCATAGACAGGGGACGGGACTTTCAGACAAATTTAGCTTAATATTGCACTTAGAATACTTTATAAAAAACCAAATTGTTCATTTTTTTACCTGCTACAATTTGTTTTTTATAAAATTTTCGATAAAACGTATATTTTTTGAGATATTTACAAAAAAACCGACGAAAAACGTGAAAAATTGCGAATTTTCAATTGTCAATAACTTGAAAAGTATTGGATTTTTCGAAAAATTTTATAGATGATTTTTTGCTTAAAATTAGACTTTCTATTAAAAAAAAATCACCCCCGAGAAGGGGTGGCAAGCACCCCCAGGGTGGTTGCAGAGTTCAAATCATTTTCACTTTTGAAGTTAAGGGTAAGGTGAACCTAATTCCAAAATTGTATGCAATTTGGTTCACACTACAAAAATTCGGAGCATTAATGCTTCAATTACTGCACTATTAAGCTTTGCTATCTGTGTTGATCGGTCACTTTTGTTTTGTTGCGGATCCAATTATATCTTTTCTTGTCTGATAGCCTGATGTTCAGCATTTGCCTTTCCATGGCTCTTTATGAAGACTCTTATTTTTAAATATTGGGGGTATTTTCTATTTTTTATTCTATTTCTAGGGGTATTTTCTATTTCTCCTTGTCTTTATTTTTTCGGTCTGATTTTCTTTATTTAATTTAACTAATTGTCCCAAATATACATATTCTTTTACTTGTTCTATAGTTGTTTGTGCATTTGTAATTATTAATTCTTCTGGTTGGTTGGTCATAATTTTCTTTTTATTATAATTCATTTGTAGACCTATTTTTGTTGATTCGCTATTTGATTCATCCATTATATTTTGTAATTCTTCCCTTTTTTCTGTTATTAATACAATGTCGTCTGGTCTGCATATCTCAAGTTATTCAAGTATTGGCCATTTATGTTAATACTCAGTCTTTCCCATTGTAATTTCCTCATAACGGCTTCCAAAGTTTGATTGAATAGTTTGGGTGATATAGTGTCACCCTGTCTGACTCCTCGCCGTATCTTAATAGGCTCCGTTTGTTCAACTATTTTAATGGATGTTGATGCTTGATCATATAATATATTGGAAATTAAGTCCGTATATCTATAGTTTATATTCCCATTTTGTAAAGAGTTTTTTACTGCCTAATATTCCATCTTATCGAATGCTTTTTCAAAGTCTACAAAAGGGCAATTGGTCTGTAGTTTTCTGGGTTGTCAGCAGGTTTACCTGGCTTTAGTATGGCTATTATTTTAGTGCGCTTTAGTTCTTGTGGAATATTTCCAGTTTCCATGATGTCTGTGAAAAATCGAGCCAGCCAAACTTTTGTATACTTGCCACAATTTATTAGGAATTCAGGGTGAATATTATCAAATCCTGGTGCTTTTGTTGGCTTAACGTCTTTTAAGAGCCTCTGATATGTCTTCGCTGGTGAAGGGGAGGGATTATAGGTCAGAGTTAAGGTTCTTTATTTTCAGTTGTAACTGATAACGAATTTCTTGAGTTGGTTTTTGTTCTGTTTTAGAAAGAAACAAATATGGCTACATATTAGGTAATCAATTATTTCAAACAAATTTTCGTTATTAAAACTCTGAAAATAGTCAAAAAAAGCTTACCAGGGGACTGTTTTCACTAACAGCTGAGACGCGGGGTTCAGTAACAGACGCAGTAGTATCACTAAACAAAAAAGCGGTTACCCAATTAGTTGCATAACAGATTTCTGTTGTTACAAATAATATACAAACAACTTTTTGTTGTTTTTAGGAATTGTTTGTTAAGGACACTTGTCAAGTGTTGTAGAACATTGGAATTCGTTAAAAACAGGGGAGTAGAAGTTAAATTTCATGGGAGAGGAAAAAATGAAGCGTCGCACTACTGTGGTCAGTGTGAGGTAAGCTTTTATTTGAAATACATTATATTTGTATTATTTGTGCGTTAGTATATCTATATTATTGTTTTTTTATTTGTTTAGGTGGAAGTTTTCAATATTCTCTTCATAAGAGAGCAAGAAAAGCGACATGTGGTTCATTGCATGGACTGTGCTAGGAAACAGTCGCCGAATTTAGAAGGGTTTGTCTGTCTGGAAGAATACAAGTCGCAGGAACTCTGTGAAGTTTACAACAACTTCATTCTACATTCTAACACGAATTCAGCTCACGAACAGTTTCGAATAACTTAGCTAAATTTAGATGGCCATCGAGGTCAGCTACCACTGCCACATGTAACTGATGTACAAGTTTAATATTAATATACTTGCTTGTTATATAGCGTATGACTTGTAAAGAAACGTGATACTTTGTAATAATAACTATTTTGCATATTTTTAATGTACATAAGTTTGTCTTATATAAGGTGAGTTAACGGTGCTGAAGTGGCTTCATGTTTACTGATGGAATTTCGTCAGACTATGCTGTATCTCAAATGCTGTGGTTAATATGTAGATTATTTCATACATATAGACATTTATGTACAATAAGCTCACCCACCTCTGACAAAAACCGCGAGTTTTTAATTGTCTTTGAAAGCTGAAGCTTTCCTACAAACTTTGTGCAGTATATCTTGTCCTGCATTATACCAAAATGTCAATAAATCTTTATTATATGCAAATATACATATTTTTATGACGTTGAGGTACATATTAATAACATCATTTGAGATACAAGTTAACCTAACGCAATTTTACCTTCAGACTTGAACTTACTGGGTTGCATCGTTGACTAATTCTGTAAGATTCATCGATAGTCTAAGGATTAGCACAGATAATTGACATTTTAGATGGAATAAGATGCTATAGTCCGTGTTGGAAAATATTAGGATTCGCGAAAATGCATTACTGTTCTACAAGGTGAGTCAAACGAAGATACCTTATTTCTGTAACTCATAAGAAAGTATTTTTCACAACAATATGACGAAATGACACCAATTAAATAGTATAGCTTGTTCGGTTGAAAATTGTTATGGATCTCAATTATATTAACTTACAGCAACAGTCAAAACAACACAATTCAATTGTTGCTTATAACTCCAAAAAACAATTGCATAAAAAAGAACTTTTATACTGTGTTTCAAACGTTAGAATCAGTTAATTATCCTAGTAAATCCTCTTTTTGTATTCCACAGCGATGATCCCATCGAGCAAAAAGACAAAAGAGGGAATGTAAAGGTAGTGGGGCAAACATATTGTTGACAGGAAGTGCGATCTTTAGAGGCCACATTAAACAAGGAAAGAAAGTCTCTCTCCTTGTTTGACATCAAATTTAGTTGGGTTATGTTATTGTTTGTCCCAAATGTCACATGAAATCTTATTTATATTGAAGTTTTTTAACAATTGTGTCGCATTTTAGACTATTATCGTTAATAATTAATTCAAACTTTCTCGTCTAAGACACATTCTGAAAAATATTATATAGCTGCTGTTGATAAGTATCGGAAAATTTAAATTTGGCGCATTCGTATTTCCGGATATGTCTGCCATCAGAGGCCACTTTTTGGTCTCTTTTTCATAAGGATTAGATTCCCTCTTTTGTCTTTTTGCTCGATTGATAATCCTCAACAAGTTCCTGCCTAATACTTTCATTTGCTTCTTTTTCTCAGCGGTTTTCAAACAATGTAATTTATTTTTCTTATTTCTTTTTGTACCGTGTCACTTCACTGCACGTACCTTTTGTACCTCATAATTTTTATATTTCTTATAAATTATAAATCTTGTTAACCTTCCATCCATGGCCTTCCACGTCGTTCCGTCAGGAGACATCCATGTCACCTTATGTGTTTCTTTTCGTTCTAATGGGTGCTCCCTACCACCATATTTTTCCCATCGCAAAACTGATTAGCCTTTGGCCATTATCATTTGTCACCCTAATTCCATTTCCTTAATTCTATTTTAGGCCATAAAGTTTTTGAGTTGTGGCGTTTAAAAAATTATGTTTGGTGTTTGGAGATAATTCACTTCTTTGTTAAAATTGTTTTACGTGTTTTTTTATTGTATATTTTATTGTATATTTGTCACATAAATAAGAAAAAAGACGCTATAGTGTAATAGGTAAAAAATACTGTCATTCTGCAGTAATTTATAGTTAAAAAAATACTTGTTTTCATTTGAAAATTTATTGTTTACTTTTCCATAATACACTCTCTTCATTGTTTTTGACAGAAGTTAACTTTAATATGAGATTAAATCCTTTAGACATTTTTACAGTCTGAAATAATTCCGATTCCGATAATTCCGATGGATTTATTTTTTTAAGAACGTCATAAGTCGAAATAATTGGTATATCGCACCCTTGCTTCAAAAGTGACACAACTCAAAAAATGTAGTTTTTGACGAGAAACAAAAAACTCATTTTTCATTGGATATGGGATAATAATTGCTTTATTTGTGGTCGTAAACGTCAAAATAGTTTGTATAGAGATAAAAGATAAAACACAGCAAAACTAAACTTTATTTCGACATCGTTAGCAAAAAACATATAACAAAAATATTTTATTTTTGTTAGATGTTTGTGTAGACAAATCAAATTAAAAACACATGTTTTACTTACTTTAATTTACAAAAGTGAACCAATTTCAGTTAATGCAGTTTACTCTCTTCAAAAATTTTCAACAAAACTGTGGTAACTCAAAATATTGTCAATAGAAAATACAAAATAAATGATCAAAAACGACAAAACTAAAAATAGTGCGACTTCTAACAACGACCAAGACAGGCACGCAACTAACATTGTGACACTTATGCTGCAGGGGAAATACCGAGTGGGAAATCATGAAATGGATGATGGCGAATCCAGTCGCCATCTCACGGAAGTTTTTGAATGCAAGTTAAAATGCTTTTGATGATTTGTGTGGGTTTGTTTTCGGATGATGTTTATAGTGATAACTCAAATACTGTCGTTTTTAAGTTGTGTCAAGGGTGCAATATAGTTGAGTTAAACAATTTAAAAACTTGTAATAATTTTCTGAAATACTGATATAACTCAAAATAATACTGCAAATCATTTTCACATTACCTCAACTTCTTTACGAGACTGGCGCAACTGAAAATAATACATTATTCTTCACAGAGAGTATTTTATTATCTTATTGTGTTTTTGAGAAATATGGTGTATTTCAAAATATGATAATATTGTGCAAAATATCGAACCAAGTTGTGCATAGAGGGCACTATGCAGTTTTTTGTTGTTGATTTAGTTGAGATTCATAGATTTTCGTAAACCTGTCAGCTCTACAAGCCTACAGGCTGAATAGTTTAAACGGCTCAACCACACACGGTGCCTTATAGTGTAATAAAGGAGGTTATGTTCTTAATGTTTACAATGTAAAGGGTCAAATATAAAGTATTAGTGTTCTGTAACGTGCAAATTGATATTGGAGTAACACTTATATATCGATGTCATCTTATTTAAGTTCTTCTTACGTTTACCTGTAGTCATGTAGAGCTGTCGAATTTGTTACACGGGAGAGAAAAATATAGCAGTAGCGATAAAACAGGGATATAAATAATTTTTTACTGTAAGTAATAGAAAAAAGTACAAAAAGGAAATATAGCACTATTATAAATCAGTTCTTAGTGTTCACAGAAGCATCTATCTTTCATAAAACTTTAATTGGTAAGATTATTTCAGTCTTATTAAGATATTTAATGTAAGTCAATGTAGGAAAACTATATTTGTCAGAGTGAAAAATGTATGTATATATCAAACCATATTTATATAACCTGATTTTGTAAGGTACCTTTCGTTTTTTAATATTAAAATGGCTCACCGTGTACATAGAATATTACCGATCTGACTTTCGATTCATCTCTAGATAAAAGTGTTTTCTAACTTATCTAAAATAGTATCTTTATCATCTTTGCTTTTGTTGAAAGAATATTTAACTATGAACGCATGTGTCATCATCACTATAAATCAGTTACACGTTTTTTCTTTATACTCAAACGGGACAAATCTTTAATTTTTACTGAACAAATTGTCATTTTAAACAATGGGCGCAGGCGCCATGTTACGTGTTAAATTATGCGAAATTGTAGTGGGCGATCAAATTACTTGAACTAATGTAAATTGGAACTTTTAGTTTAAGAAAAAATATATCCGTATGTTGCTTTGCATCTTATTACATTATGTTTTCATACTCACAAGTTAAACAATGTGGATTGAAAATACTAAAAATTGTGTCATATTGATTTTTTGTTTTCAGCGGTTTTATTTGTGTCATGAGTACAAATTCAATTTATTAAGTATTTTCCTTTAGCATTATACTTATCCTGACACTATGGCAACTCTGTGCGAAAGTGTCAACGTCAACATTGGATGACATGCAATGGACTATCTAAGCGCTGACGTCACAATGGGCAAGGATTTTAAAAACATTTCCAAACATTTGTAATTTGTGTGTATTTGTCCCATAAGAAATTGGAAATATTGGTTTTTGATTGTTTGAAGGTTAAAACTTTTAGTTTCGTGTGATTGGTATTATTTGTTATTTGTGAATTTGCGAGGTAAGAATATCAAAGTATTAAGATATTTACTATAAATATTCATATTTTAATCATTTACCGCATGATTTTCTTTTTTGTCAAAAATAAATTCGCAGATAAGAATTTTAATTCTATTTTACGTAAAAATATTGAAAAAAATCTAGCTACGATGAAAACTTTATTGACAACAAAATTGTTGGTGCCAAATATGGAACATCATGCAACAATGTAATATTAAAGTCAAACTATTTTGAAGCTACATACTATACAGTATGAAACTGTAAATAACAGTTTCTGTTAACGTTTTATTTCTTCGAATCTGTTACAGCTTATTACGTTAACTGTTCGGTGGCCAATATTGGCATTCCAATAATGTCTTGTTGATGGAAGTTGAATTATCGGCATATAAATTGTAATTACTATAAATTGTTCCATTTCATATTTTTTTATATTATCTGATTTATCTGGACGTTGTTGCACTGAGTATAAATTTGATTGGTCTGTGATATGACCTAAAAGACTATCAGGAAAGAGAAACTTAAAAAATTGGACCGGACTTTCTAATTGTAAAATCGAAGAAGGTAAATTTTCAGAAACAGTAAATTTTGTATCATTTTATGATTTCATATTTCCTTTCACCCAATTGAGATTTCTTCCTTTTATATCGTAGTCTTCCAGACAAAGGCGTATCATCATCTGAGGATGTGGCAGAAATGACAGTTTTCTTGACATTGCTTGGTAAATTTTGGTCTTCATGAAAGAGATCTGATTCTTCACTATTTCTTCACATATCTCTTCACTTATTACTAAATCATTGAATTTATTTACGAAGTTAAAAAATAATTAAATTAATGTTTTGTTTTAATCTTTTTTAAGTGCTAGTGATTTTATCCCCTAAAAGACTAAATATATTCGTTTTTTCGTAGTTTAAATAGTTAATAGTAGTTTTGTTGTTATTAATGAAAAATCTAGTAAAACTTGATACATTCAACACATGTTTACTAGCTATTATATGCCCAGATCTAAAAAATAAACCCAAAAACTATATCAACATTCAAAAAACATTTTTTAAAACACTCATTATGACAGTTATGGAAATGTCTCCACAGAATGTTATATTACAGCATAAACTACAAGAAAACGAATATATTTAGTCTTTCACCGGCAACTAAAAAAGAATATACATTAACTTAAATATTTTTCAACTTCGTAAATAAATTCAATAATTTATTGATTTATTTTGAAGTAACCTTGATAAAAACAACAAAATACCTTGTAATACAGTAAAAAAAATAATTAAGTTTTAACCTTACAATAACAATTTCTTAAAATATGAACATTCATAGTAATTATCTTAATACTTACCTCACAAATTTACGAACAATAAATAATACCAATCGCACAGAATGAATGTTCATAACCAAAAGTCCTTATTTATTGTTCAAATAATTAAAAAAACGAATATCTCCAGCTTCTTATGGGACAATCACACAAAAAGAAATGTTTGGAAAGATTTTTAAAATACCCGCCCATTGTGAAGTCAGAGTTTAAGTGTCTTGTAAATTAGTGTTGACAATCATTTTTCGAATCCTGAGAAAACTCCTAAGTATTTTTCTAAAATTTAAACGCAGAATGAAAGATTACATTATTACTGAGGGTCGGAAGTTCCTGAAAGCTTCTATAATAATGTTTATTTTAATAGGTTACAGGGGTGAAAAGTAGAAAAAATTTAGTCTGATTTTTAATTTCAAATATCTCATTCAAAAAACTTTTTTATCAATTCTAAGGGACTTTCGGCCCTAGGTAATAATATAATATTTCATTCTGCGTTTAAATTTTTCAAAAATATTTATTAGTTTTCTCAGGATTCGAAAAAATTGAATGCTTTTAAAAAGCATTGGCCCAAAATTTTGCTACTACGCTCTTAAACTGTATTAAACAAAAAGTTCAATTTTACCAAGTTTCTGAAATAATTTAATGATGGTTTTCTGTAACTCAATGATACAATACTCTATTTACAGTTATCAAATTAATTAATGATTCAATTATTATAATTATAATAAATTAATTTTGCAGAATATTGATAGTAATGTAGTCCAATTAGTACCTGAAACGAAGTTCATTATTTTCATTGTATCGGGTGTATTCTGAATAATTATAAATGCAGTGTTCAATAACTAGTTGCAGTGTATCTGCATAAAGCAACTAAATAGAAAAAATTGTGAGTTTCTCCTCTCGTTAGTCACAATTTTGAATTGAAGTTCAAAGGTTTCAATTTTGTTCAGTGTTATTTTCTTCAATAAAGCTTTAATTAATCTCATATTTATTGAATATATTATGAAATGTAATTTTTTCTTTTGGCTTTGTGCTGCATTTTTAAAGTATATTTGGCTTAATTATTGATTTTTTATATTTAATACTTTTTACTAATTTTACTTTTTATCATTTTATTCAAAAAAAGGCATTACATTTATACTTTGCATATTTTCTGACATAATTAACGTTTAATTAAGACATTTATTCCTTTTTACTTTTTGCTCTCACTTTTCCGAACACTGTTACAATTGACAGTTCAATGATAATTTTTTTCCTATTTATTGCTGGTCTTCTGTATATGTAATAGATTCACTTTGTGAAAGACCTTTTGATGCAGAAGTTAAAAATTATTGTTAATGTGAGTTATGCGAATAAAATTTTTTTGATTGGACACCATAACAGAACGATCAAGTTGACTGATTTTAGTGATGAAAAGTTGGATTTTAAAAAATATTTATTGTATGATTATTTTATCACTCGTTTGTATTTATATGTAGGTAAATACCGATCGTGACCAATTTGAGGTCCTTTTGTAAAAGACTGTCTCATTAGTGTAAGTTTTGGCTGAAGTACGTATTTCTAAAAGGAGATATAAGGATATATTTATGCATATATGCAACTAAAAAGTGTGTTTATTTCATTATTTTCTTGGGCGATTTTGTTTCGCCTTATAATTATAATGTTCCGGATTTTTTATTGATTTTTTTTCGAAATACAGCTTTGGAAGCTTTCGAAATTAGATATAATTGAGTATTATGAAATTTGATGATTAATTTTTGATGTTATTTATTGTGACCGATTGTATATTTTGATTATATAATTAATTATTTACAATTATGTACAAATTACTTTATTTTATTCTCTTTAATAAAGTTATTGATTGTATAAAAGAACCGATTTTAAGTTTTCATTTCTTTACTTCTTTATTAGCAGTAAAAACTTGATTTTTGTTCGTTTATTGACAAGAGGGGCCCAAAGGTCGTCTTTAGGGCATGCCTGTGGTTTGTGAAATGAAATGCCATACGATGGATGGCATAAGGTTACCTCCCCCCCTATTAACTTTGTTATTTTTAGCACGTAAGCAAAAAGCTCGGACAGGTCGATTTTTAAAATAATCGCAGTATAATAATAGCATCAATGGTGACAGTCATAACTTTGATTTGTTTTAAATGGGAAAGTACAACATTTAACATCTCATTTAAAAGCTTTTGAAATACTGATTTAAAAATGTACTTTGGCTCGAAAACTTACAGAATCTAAATTATGCGAGAAAGAGTTTCAATGTACATAACCTAACCTACCTCTAGATCTGCTCAAAAAACTTACCTAACGATCTTTCGTTGCATAGCAACTAAATTCTTTTTTGACAGCTGTCATTTTAGTTTTGCTGTTTTAAAAGAAATTTGTTTATGTGAATTTTAAAAATGGTACAAGCAAAATGCGAAATGATCACAATTTATGGTGAAGAATTACAGGAAGAGGCAGAAGAGAGCAGGAAGAAAACGTATATACGAAGATAAACAGATTTCTGTTTTAAGTGAGTTTGTCATTAATCCGTCTACTTGTACTAAAACTCTTACTCACGTTTGTGAAGTAGATCAGAAAACAATTTTAAAGATTCTGAAGAGAAATCAATTTCATCCTTACAAACTATAAATGGTTCAAGAATTAGCAAAGGATGACCCAGATAGGCGGATGGAATATTGCGAAACCATGACAAATAATATTGCACAGAATTATCTCCAACACATTTGTTTTACTGACGAAGCGACATTTTTTTTAATGGTCACATTCATTGTCAAGCTGTTCGATACTTCTCTGATGAAAATCGAGAAGCTCACACGTAATTTCCACAAAAACTAGATGTTTGGACAGGAATATTAGGTGCCCAATGTTTATTGACGGTATTTTAACTGATGAAACTTACCTAAATATGTTGTGAGACCGAGATAACGCTGGCAATCAATGATAAAATTACAAATCATGAACAATGTTGTGTTTGGTAAGACGATGGAAAATATACGCAAGCACGTTGATATAAAATTATTTGGACGGGTCGTTGGGGAGCTAAAACCAGAATTTCTAATCAACTTTTTAAGAATTCTACTATCTTTGATGCACATATGATTGCTGTTGAGATGCATAAAGCGGAAACTTGGTTAGATAAACCGATTTGTGTGTGTCAAGCAATTTTGGATTTGAATTTTTTTGATTAATATGGCTATTTAATCGTCATCCATCACATTTTGAACATATTTTACAATAAAATAAGCTTCTAATTACTCTGCAATTTGTTTATTCGGTATTAGTTGTCACTTGCAGTTCGCTACGTATCTTGAATTCTTCTTCTTCACTGGATTTACAACTCTACCTGTTTCCTCCTCGAGCTGTGGAAACACCTCTCTCACGTCTCTTGTAGAATGCGTGACTGCATCTATATCATCAGCAAAGTCCAGCAACAGTTTTGATCCTTGATCAGCAAATCTTCCTGTCACCTCAGACGATATTTTACTTATTGCATATTCTAAAGCCAAATTGAACAGCAACGGTGACAAGGGGTCCCCCTGCCTAAGTCCTGAATTTATACCAAATGGCATCGATGTTCTACTTCCTGTGTCTGTCACGCACATTTGCGTTAATTCAACCAATTTTCTTGGTATTCCCTTTTCTAACATTGCTATCCACAATTTGCTTCTTTTTATGGAATCAAATGCTTGCTGGAAATCTATGAAAATTTGTTGCACATCGCGGTTGAATTCCCAGTTTTTTTTTAATATTTGTCGGATGGTAAATATCTAATTTATAATTTTATTTTCCAGTACGAAAGCCGCATTGGTATTCCCCTAGAATATCTTCCGAATATGGTGTGTCTCTTTAGCAAGATAATTGATAACACTTTATATGATGTGCTAATAAGCGATATGCCTCTATAGTTTCGGAATTGTTCTTTGTTTCCTTCCTTATATATGGGAATTATAACGCTTCCATTCCATTATCTAGGCATCTTCTGTTGTTTCCATACACGCAGAATGATGTCATACAATTTTTCGTGTAAAAGGTTTCCTTCTTTTTTTAACAACTCTCCATGTATCCCATCGTTTCCTGTTGCTTTATGATCTTTTAGGGACCCGATCGCATTCTTTGCTTCCTCAATTGTTGGTGCTGGTATTTCAATATCTGCAGAATGAAACGTAATATCTGCTTCCTTCGTCTCACTTTCAATAATTAGTAAATTCAGAAAACATTCCTTCCATCGTTCGACGATTTCCGTTTCAATCATTATAAGTTCACCTGTTTCATTTCTCATAAGCTGTATTACTCCAAAACTTGCACCTTTTCTGACTGACTCCACTTCACTAAAGAATATTCTTATTTGATTCCTCTCGCCACTTTTGTCCATTTCCCGGATTTGCTGTTCTAGGTAGGTCTGTTAAAATCCGCTTTGTTCTCATCTGCGGGATCTTGTAGCATTTTCAATCTTTTTTTCGTTTTTATTTCCAGTTTGAATGATTATTTTAGTTGTAATAATTTTGACTGGAATATTTTTTACGTCTATTTACAACAGAATCTACCATCTAAAAAAGATTCTCAAACGATTGTTGCAAGGTACGTATTGAAATTCTTTCTCGTATAATTTAAATCCCGCGCGTTTTTCTTCGTGCTAAAAATAAATAAGTTTGTATGCAAATATTATAGCAAAATAAAAGTCAGTTCTATGACCGAACAATTTTTGGAATGATGCAATATTTACCAGGCCTATAGGTCGTGGCGTGGAATTATTCCCTTAAGGGGCTTCATCTGTGACTGCCGTAGACATTATATTCTACTTCAAACCAATCTACATCATCGTCAAAGCGTCATCTATATTTGTTTGCCTTAAGGTATCAAGGGAGTTACGTTCTTGCCTTAGTTGAATTTCTAAACGTGTCAATATACATCTTTATTCATAACTCGTTCCAGAATGCTTTGGAAAACTTCACATCTTTCCCACACTAAAGTCATTGTATTTGAACTCTCAAAGACTTTTCGCAACTGTTTCTATGTTTTACTCCAGAATGTCATAAAATCACAAAATAATCCAATCCGCTTAAATTGTTTTATTGTATTTCTACAGGGTCTTTAAAAAAAAGTAACCCCGTCTCTAGGGTAGGTAAAAAACTGAAAAATAATTGGGGTTTGCTTAGTAAAAAATTTTTGTAACGTCATCCGTTCTCAAGATACAGGGCGTTGAAGAAAAAAAATTACGCATTTTTGCCGAAACTACTGGCAACATTGTAATGAAATTTTATACGAATATGTTTTGGAAGCTGATACATCCCATGAATTTGTTTTTATATCTGATTCTCATAGATTGCGCTAGTTACACGGATCGTACTAAATATTAGTCAATATAACTTTTTTAAGAGTATAATTATTAATCAAAATTTCGAGTAAACTTAAATATTCAATTTTACACGAAAAAGGTACTCTTGGTAAAACTCGATACTGTGTACCGTTTTCGGAATATTTTGATTTGAAAATTCTGAAGTAATAATTGATGCTGGTATTAATGATAAAGTTTCTAATAGGTATACCTCTATTTTCTCGAAGTGTGCCATGGAAATCTGACATTTATTGATTGTTATGACGATAAATCAACAATAATTAGAGTTTTTAAACCTTGGTATTTGTAAAATCAAATCAAAATGTACTCAAATGTTGAATACACTGACATGTTATTAACCTTAGGCGAATTTTTAGGATGTTCTAGTGCAGCTTTGACACGTTATGCAGAAAAGTTTCCTAGAAGAAACTTACCAAGTAAAAAAACATGTAGAGCCGTTGAACGACGTTGTCGAGAAGCTGGGAATGTGAGACCAAATAAAATAAATTCTGCTAGACCAAGAACAACAAGAACAATTAATAAAGAAAATAATATTTTAAATTTACTTGATCAAGATCCAACAGTTAGCGTAAGGAATAAAGCAAGACAAACAAATACTTCTTCAAGTACTTGGCGGATACTGAAAGAACAGCAATTACATCCTTATCGTTACAGACAAGTCCAAGAGCTCTTGCCAGATGATCTACCGGTTAGAGTGGATTTTTGTAAAACATTGCAACAAAAGAAAGCCCACAATCCAAATTTGTTAAAATGCATTCTTTTTACGGACGAGGCCACCTTTACGCGACAAGGTATGTTTAACTCCCATAATGCACAACTACTGGTGTGATTAGAATCGAAGAGTACCTTTTTCGTGTAAAATGGAATGATATTTAAGTTTACTTGAAATTTTGATTAATAATTATACTCTTAAAAAAGTTATATTGACTAATACTTAGTACGATCCGTGTAACTAGCGCCCTCTATGAGAATCAGATATAAAAACAAATTCATGAAATGTATCAGCTTCCAAAACATATTCGTATAAAATTTCATTACAATGTTGCCAGTAGTTTCGGCAAAATCGTAAAAATTGCGTAATTTTTTTTTCTTCACCGAATCCGTTTTCTTCTTGAAAACGGATGGCGTTACAAAAATTTTTTACTAAGCAAACCACAATTATTTTTCAGTTTTTTACCTACCTTAGAGACGGGGTTACCTTTTTTGAAACACCCTGTATAAACTGCTAAACCTTTACTATTTCAAAAATATTTATATTCTCAAATTGTCAACTGTCACAACTCGAATGCCTTTAACTTCAAATCATAAATGTTAAATTTACTTTTTTAAAGCCCCTGCATTATACTTTATATTAAGTTTTGATATCCTTCACATAATTGCTTCTGTTCATGTACATTCCAGAGCCAAATATTGAAAAGTGTTGCATAAATTGTTTCCTTAACCTCCAAAAAAATTTAAAAAGTTAGGTTAACACGGA